TGTGTGTGGGGGGGGAGGATCTCCTTCGGCTCCCTCGGATCTGGATTAATCCCGAGAGGCCCCCGGACGAGGGAAGCGAGCGAGGGATGTGGCAGCCCCCGTGCAGCGGCTCGTCTTCAACTTGGTCGCCCCTTGCGTGGGAGTGCCTGCAGAATAAGCAAACCCCTCGGCAGCCTGCTGCTCTCGGCCAGAAGTCTCCCATTGTTTTCCTAGCGGAGGAGTGCAGAAGTTTTGTGGGAAAGAAGGGGTCTCCGTGTGTGTAAACTCGGGAGGGCGACTAGGATACTGAGGGAGCACTAAGACCATTCCTTCTGGCTTTCCCCTCCCCCTTCCTCCTGTGTCGTCCAGTGTGGGAGAAACGGGATCCAGTGCGCGACCTGCTCCTTAAAGCTCAGCCCGGCTGCGAGTCAGTCCCATCTTGGCCCTTTCCATGTTTCAGGCAGTCTTCGCCTGGCGCTCTGAAGGCTGCCTGGCACGTCTGCGAACTCGCCTCTCTCTCTCCCTCTAATCTTGTTTCAACTTGCTGGGCTGTGTGTTTCTGCCCCCCTCCGTAGCGCCTGAATAGCTCTCTGGTTGCGACTCTTCTGCCGCTTCTTTGTTGGAAGGGCAGCTCTGCTTGGTGAAGAGCGGCCCCCCAACTTTCTGCCCCTTCTTTTGGAACGAGGAGACGCTGAAGAGCATCCCGGCCTGGCCCCCCCCCCCCCCCCCGCTCTTTGGAACGGCCCTCTGGGGGATTGGGGAACTTCTGCCTTCCCTTGCCCTCGGAGCCAGCCTGACCAGTGACAGCCTGTGTCCCGGGAAGGAGACATAAATTACATACATCTTAAGTGTAGCCTTGGAACTCAGCCTCCTGTTTCTAAGTGCTTCCGGTTTTCAAATAAATCAAAGGGGGTGGGGAGGAATGGAACACCAGTCCTGAAGCATCTGGCTGAGGTTCCATCTTAACTCACGGTCCTGTTTCTAATAATGCCAGCCAAAGGCCTTCTGGTAATAATAATAATAATAACAACCACCATCAAGGCAGGAGGGCAGGGGCCTCCCTTGTTCCCTGTGCCTGTTCTTCTGGGGCGCATTGCCTCCGTCTTACTAGCATTGTTGATAGCCATCAGTAGACTGAACAGTGCAGTCTAAGCAGTCACCTCCTTCAAAGCCCACTGGCGTCTGTTAACTTAGAGTGTAACTCTGCTCAGGCTTGCAGTGTAGCTCTCCATTATTATTTTTTTGAGCTAGTTCTAAGTAGCGTCCTATGTCCTACATCCTGTGGCAGTGAATTCCATATGTTAAGCTTGGTGTTGCATGGATTATGACTTCCGTCTTGTCCAGTGCTCCCTCTAAGCTGTGGAGTCTTGTGAGCAAAAGTTGTACCTTGTGAGCTACTGGCATTAAAGCTGTGAGCAAGCGATTTGGTTACTGCATAAATCAGTTTGCTCTGGAGCCATCCTTCTCGAGCTGAGACAAAAATGCATGAGCTGGAGGCTAAAAAACCTGTGAGCTAGCTCACACTAACTCAGTTTAGAGGGAACACTGGTCTTGTCTGTCCTGAATGACCAGCCACCAACTTCGTTGGGTGACACTGAGTCTTACAAGGGAGGAAGCAAAATCCTTCTCCATACCATTCGTTTTATAAACTTACATTGTGTGCCTCTCCCCAACCCCAAAAGACCCAATGGTCGTTCCTCATGAAGATGGTGCTTCAATCCTGGGTCTTGCTGAAGTCCTTGGGAAGGCTCACGTTTCCTGTTCTTGGACTCTGGTGTGCTTCCGTGGCTACCATTCAGTCTTACAATACATTGTGCTGTCACATCACAGAGGATTCTGGAGCGCGTGCTCAGGTCATGCAGGGAACCAGCTAGACAAGACCAGACCTGCTCACTGCCTTTGACGTGACAGGTTGGGTACTCTTTAGATTGTGCCCCCCAATGAGTGGCTGTCCAGTCAGCCTGCAAGGTGGTGAATGCTCTGCTTATGATCAACTCTGTTATCAAAGCCTTACCTGAACCACTGCGGCCTGCCTCCTCTTGTCTGCATTCTTTCCCTGCCACCTAATTTCCCCCATCTCACTGCCTTTGTCCCTTTGACAGTCCCCAGGGGTGCTCTGTCTCAAGGGGCTTGAAGCAAAAGACGGGAGGTACCATTTTCTTACTGGCACTCCGTACTAGCTCCTCATACCAGCTTACTTTGACCCTTGTCTTGTCCTAGTAAGGTCTGCAGCAAGTCCTTTGTGCAAAATTGCTTCAGCATCCTCTGCTGCCCTTAGCACAATGAGCCACGGTGGTGGAATGGCTAGTGTCAGACTGGGATCAGGGAGCCTCAGGTTCAAATCCTTATTCTGCCATGGAAGCTTGCTGGGTGACCTTGGGCCGGTCACATACTGGTAGCCTAACCTGCCCCACAGAGTTATTATGAGGATAACATGGAGCAGAGGAGAACAGTGTAAACTGCTTTGGGTTTCCCATTGGGGAGAACGGTAGGTTATAAATGAAGTAAGTACAATGTAAGTAAATATGATACAATGGTCACAGTCCTCTCTGGGTTTCTGTTCTGCCACCAGATCCAGAGGAGTTAGCCGTGTTAGTCTGCTGATGCAAATAGTAAAAAGCCCAGTAGCACCTTTAAGACTTACAAACTTTATTGTAGCATAAGATTTCGAGAAACACAGCTCTCTTTGTCAGTTCTGCCACCAGTTTGTTAATTTGGGCAAATTTCTTAATATCTTAATATCTTCCTTGGTTAGCTATCTGAAAACGTGGACAGTAAGTATGTATCCATGGATCGATGGAACAAACATAGAGATTTGTACTTATTTACGTGTTTTGTAGACTGTTCCATGTGAACAGATTGGTTTTAGAGGTCTCTAGAGGCAGATGTATTCTGTATTAGAGGTTAGGTGGTTCTCCTGTTTTGAAAATGCTGGTTTAAGCAAAAAAAAAGACAGAATATAGCTGACTTGCTTTTTCCTTGGTATTCAGAGTAATCTTGTGTTCAGTAATACAGTATGTTTTTCTCTTTGCAGCCTCTCTGTATGTTTAGAAGAATTGACCTCTAAGCAGGGGTAGTTTCGTAGAAAAAGAGCTAGGGGAACTCATTAGCATATGCCACACCCCCTGGCATCAGGGGCCCGGCGGTGGACCTGCAAGGCCGGTGGGAGTGCGAGGAAGCCCCGCCAAGGCAGGCAGGGATGGGGAGAGGCGGGGAGGAAGCAACTTACCCTCTCTCTTCTCCTGCCTCCTCCTGGCTGAATGAGGGCTGGAAACGGGGCGGCTGGAAGCAGGGGGCGGGGCTTCGTATGCCCCGCACCTCACCCGGGGGAACTGCGATCCCCCCCCCCGAATTGACCTCTGCCTCTAAGACACAATGCAAGTTCTGATAAAAGGGAGTATAAAGTTAGAAGTGTGTGCTGTATTATGCCCCTTTTGAATAACTGGCTGCAGTTCTAGAGAAAGGAGTTGAACTGTGTGCATAAATACTGCTCCTTTAGTGAGTTCATCCCTAACACCAGGTTGCCCCAGGCTAGCTCACTGGGATTCATACAGACAGTCCTGTATGTATGACCATGATGGTCGGTGGTTTGGCTGGATTGGAGCACTCTGTCTCTGATGGCAAACTTGGGGTAGGGAGTGGTTAAACTGAATCTCGGCCCTTCATCCTCTAGGTCCTAATAGAACTGATTTCACAGCAGTGGTAACCTTGGTAACCTTCTGCTAGTGTGTATGCTCTTTTCAAGAGTATCTGTTTGATCAAGCACCAGATGTGGGTTGTTAGCAGTCAGTGTAACTACTGTGATGCACAGTAGTCCGTTTGGTATTCAGAAGTGCTCACGTACCTACTGTAGTAAGAGAACAGCACACAATACACACTTGGTGACTTTGATCATTTTATCACTGGTGGTGTATCGATTCCTAAGGATGTGTGAGTTTGTGATTGCTGTGTGCCAAGTGCCGTCAAGTCACCAACTTATGGCGACCCTGTAGGGTTTTCAAGGCAAGAATTAAACAGAGGTGGTCTGCCGTTGCCTGCCTCTGTATGGCTGGCCCTGGACTTCCTTGGTGGTCTCCCATCCAAGTACGAACGAGGGTCGACCCTGCTCAGCTTCTGAGACCTGACGAGATCAGGCTAGCCTCGGCTGTCCAGGTCAGGGCTTTGTGATTGCTACCTCTGATTATAACTAGTTAGTAAGTACTGTAATAGTATACTGTACATAGTAGTAAGTATGGACAGGGTCTCTGGAGAGGCAGCACAGAAGTTTTCTAAACTAGTACCGTATAGCCATCAAGGGCTGTAATGATAATATGGGGGCCTACTGAAATTGGTACCATCCTAATGACGGTGACACTTGATGACGAAAGAGGGCTACGGATGCTATTCCCCTATCACCAATGGTATGCAGTTGTGATGCTGGATCTGTGTGATTTACCTGGAAGGCAGGGCAGCGGCAGTTACAAGGGGAAAAATTGTTTTCATCAAGAG